CTGCCCCCTCTGTACGCTGGATCTGGCGCCGGTCGCGAGGGGGCCGCGCTGCTGGGGCTGGGCCTGGCGCTGGAGATGGGGTCCGCGCACCAATCGCAGTCCGCGTCGATACAGGAAGAGGAGGGCCTGGCCGGATTGGAGTCGCACCGCATGACGTGCTCGCAATGAAGGGAGCGGTGGGCGGTGGTGGTCAGGATTTTTTTGAAACTGGAAGAGTCGCGTCGAGGATGGCGTGGCCTGATGTTACGGGGCTCGGGTTCGACGTGGGGAGGAGGAAGGGGGGTTGATGCCGCACTCCGCATCACGGCCTAACTTTTGTACAATCTGATATGCAGCTAATGTGGGGTGCGGGGCTTCTTACATAGTTACTAGCTCTCTCTCTCGCTCTCTCTCTCTCTCTCTCGTCGTCACTCTTAAATACACGGCCTGTGAAAGACTCCACAGGCAGAGCGGCCCCGTCGACAGGCCAATAAAAAGGATAAAACGGAAAAGCAAGTCGCGCGCCAGAGTCTGACTACCATTGGGCGTCCGGTGCGGCGGTCTCGTCCACGCGGCCGATGAAGCGCATGAGCTCGATGATGGTGCCGTCGGCGTCCGTCATGAAGGCGGTCTCGGTGCGGATATTGCCCAGGATCATCTCCCGCGGGCGCTCCAGCAGGCCCAGCTTTATCTGGAAGCGCTGTATTGACTCCTTCTGTACGGTGAGGAGAAACTTGCTCAGGTCCGTGCACGCGCGCGACAGGTCTATGGCGATATGGCCGAGCCCGGGCAACAGCGATGCACTGTTTTTCGGCTCCGGCTTGTTTTTGAAAAGGCTCTTGACCTCGATGAGCTCGATCTTTTGGTCGATGTACGGGGACTGGATATCGTTAAGGGGAGAGAGCGGTAGAAAAAGAGAGTGATAGAGGGTTTGGAAAAAAAAGTTAGTATGGTATCGCGAAATGTCACCGGATGCGTTTCAACATGATTGCAAACAGTAAGAGGTCGGCAATGTACCTGTATCCAAACGGCCTTTACGCCGCTGGTCATAAACCTGGTGACGTCCTGAAAGCCGAGGAGGGAATAAAAACGTCTCGCCCTCGAAATGTCCCAGGTCCTGACCATGACATGCGAAAGCGTCAAGGCATCGTTGGTATGTGGGGAGCCCCTGGGCCTTCTCCTAAGCAGCATAGCAATATGCGGAATGCCAGCCTCCGCGTCAACCTGATGGCCTTCCTCGACGATCCAGCCGCACTCCCTATAAAACAGCTCCTGTTCCTTAATGGCGTAGCAAAAGAACGGGCCCCTCGCCGCCTCCACGGGCGGGGTGGTCTCGATGTGCCTGAGCAGGGCGCGCCCCACGCCCTTGCGGCGCGCGTGTTTAACGACGGCCATGCGCTCGAGCTTCACGGCGGGGGCGGCGATGCAGTTGAGGCGGCAAGTAGCGATGGGCTGGCGGTCGGCGGTGACGAGGAAGTGGGTGAGGCCGGGCGGCGGCGGCCACGCGTCGTTGGCGTCGAACTCCTGGGCGGGCGGGATGCCCAGCTCCGCGACGAACACGCCGTGGCGCAGGCCCAGCGCCAGGTGCAGCTCTTTCTGCGTGGCCTTTCCAGCACACTG